GGGTTCTAGGGTCTACCGGGGGGGGGGGGGGGTGGGGGGGGGGGGGGGGGGGGGGGGGGGGGGGGGGGGGGGGGAATTCTATGAGCATGATTAAAGGGTTGAAGAAGGCTCTCTATGCAGACAGTTATTGAGACATTATTAAACTTCACCATGCCTGGAGTTAGCTTCATCTTTGTTCGAGGGTATGCATGTGATGTTGGCAGTGAATGAGCTGATATTGATATATTGACCGGTCCTGCTTTGTTTGCAGAGCACTGTTGGATAGCACCAACATTGTGAATGCTCTTACATAGGCTTATCAGAGGATTTTGGAAGCATTGTGTCCACATGGTGCTAAGAGTAAAGATCTGCACAGCCAGGCATCCTGTCGGGTGTAGTCTTGTCAACCAGCATAGACCCTGGGACGCTCATGTGTATGTTGCATCAGGAATCTGAGCATCTATGGATGTGTCTGGAGGGGCTTCCTTTGAGGTCAAAGTGCATCTACCCAAGAGTTAAAGAACAACTAACTGCACACAAATAAACCATTTAAATGGATGTACACACAAAACTCAGGCCCTGGCACAAAGCCACATTCCACCAGAACATAATTTTAAGCAGTGAATGAGTATTTGTAGGATGATACCCATAATGAGCTTCTCTTGCGTAAGGGTTGTGAAATTAGTTTCATAGTTCCGACATACCAAAGTGAAATAAGCTGTAGGCAGTCTGGTCTCAGGCGACTGTAATTTGATTTTAACAGTGCCATCTAGAACACAGTTACCAATTCCTAAATGTGACATTTTCTACTAAAATTAGCAAAGTGATTATGTTAACAGGCTTGAGGGGAAGTTCAGTCACAAGGAGATACTTGGTACCTCGCCTCAGTCATCAGCCTTCTCTGTGTTGGTTTTATGGAACCCCATGCAAGATTTCTGCTGTATGTCCCCGTCTTGTGCCATGGATAATGGCTCAGATGACCATTAACAGAGTTGGCAGGGAATATTGAAGCTGGTGGCCCACAAAAAGCCCACACACAAAAAGTCCAGTTGGCTGTCATCAGCCCATACTCAATGCATGGGTGGAAACATCTATCAAAACTCAGTTGGAACATAAGTATTATGTCCTTTTACTGAATGTACCACTAAATGACAAATCTCAGTTTAAAATCTGTCGAGTGAAAGAAAAAGGAACTTCTGAGACTCAGCCCTGGACCAAGAGATTTGCCTGCAGCTTAGATGAGCATCATTTCTTGTGGGCCGTTTCTTGTGGTAAAATTCTATCTCTACATCCTCTGTTAACCCTCAGTGTCATCATCACCGCTTTGAGTTACACCAGGGCAGCCATTGTCAGTCTGCTTGTTAGGCTCAAATGTCCAACAAATACATTTCCTGTGGTACACCAGCAACGGTCTCAGTGTCAGACTGTCATAAATCCTACTGATTGACAGAAAGGTTCAAATGTCCTAATCCATTAGCCCCACTTGCCTGAATGTTGGGACCAAGCAGGTGAAGCCAGGCCTGATGCATGCCTCTCATAATGTCATGCTAAGTGCAAAATTGAAACAGCGTTAAAGATGTCTAGCAAGATGAAGAAGAATTTACTTATGTGCATGGTCATCACAGTCCTCGACCTGTGGGCAGCTCCCTGCTAATCTCCAGAATGTGCAGCACATTACGAATGAAAAGCTCAACATAAGGTTGCAAGGTTCAGCAGTCATGTGCAGGACATGACGATTCTTTGGGTAAGCCCAGGGCCAGAGCATCATGTGTCGGCTCTGCAATTATGGAAGCCTTCTTGTATGTCGAGCAATGCCTATCCCCCTGCCTTCCCTTGAGGGGTGACCCGTATACACACGGTTGCCCTAAAGGGGTTCCCTGGAGGCAGCATATGTAGGTAAAGGGACAAATAGGACACCACACAAATGAGGCAAAATCAAGCCCCACGAAGCAGTGGGCCAGTCATCCTAGAGGTAGGATCAACATCTTCCTTCGAAGTCAGAGTACATCTGCTAAAGAGGAAGGCAAGAAGAACTGCTCACAAATAAGCCAGTAAAACAGATGTACACACAAAACTCAAGTCCTGGTACAAAGCCAGAGTCCAAATGGAGGAACAACCAGGATATCCTGTCTGAATTCATAGCTGGTGAACCAAAAGAAGAAGAAAGGAAGTCTACTAAAACTATAAACAGACAATAAATACATGGTTGGTTTGTGAAATCCTGAAAAGGATATGCAGTTAATTTTAACATATGACGGCAGAATGTAGTTGTTTGCACGTTGGCCTGCAGTTTTGAATGCTTCAGTTTGAACTAATTTAAGGTGGACAAATCAGTAAATAAGTCACAAATGTTTGTTACAAAATAAAAATAAAAAATAAATTAAAATGATAATGTGAAAACTTTTTTTTTTAATTTTTTTTATTACATACTCTATCCCTTTTTGTTTCAACATAATTTCCACTAAGATTGTCGCACTTGTCCCATCATTTTATCAGTCCTCCCAAACCTGCTGCATAGAACTGTGTGCTCTATTTTATAAACCACATTTTCAGTTCACATTAAACTTCTGCGTCATTCGTGGGTTTTCAGTGGACCAAAGAGGTGGAAATCGCTAGTGGCTAAGTCGGGGCTGTAAGGTGGATGTTCCAGAAGCTCCCACCATAAACGGGTAATTTTCTGCTAAGTTAACCGAGCTGTACGTAGTCTGGCATTGTCATGAAGGAGCAGTACTCCTCTAGTCAGCAAGTCCGGTTGTGTCCTTTGAATTGCATCATGAAGCATCGATAGAACAACACAGTATGAATCAACATTCACATTGTCTCCTCTTTTTTTGCAATTGGTTAAAAGCACTCTTGACCATCTCTGCTGATGGTGTAACCTTGAATTTTTTAATGCAAGGCAAAGAAGGATATTTCCATTGCACTTTGTCCCTTGTAATAATCCTGTTCAACATATCCTCTCCTTCATCTGTGTATCAATTGAGATGCTGCAAGGCGGGCCTATTCAGATTATTTTATTTTCGTCAGTCAGTTGTCTTGAGCACACTTTCTTAAATTTCAATTGATTATGCTGAACCATGTGAGCACCCTATTACAGCTGCTACATAGTCTACTGTTACTCACTTGTCACCTCTAATCATGTCCACCCGCTGCATGAATATATCTCTTCCAGTCTCAGCAGGATGACCAGATCAGACTTCATCAGTTTCAGAAAATTTGTTTGCCCTGCCATGCACCACTTTGCCGAATAAATATTTGTCAGCATAAACGGCAAGTGTTTCCTTGTGAATGTTTTTGCAGGCAGCCATCCCCCCCCCCAAGAAAGCACAAAAGCAAGTTTCTTTTAGTGGTTACACTCCATAAGTATTGTCAGCATTTTGTTTTCTGTTTTGCGAATGCACATGCGACACCTAACGCCACCTAACAGACAGAGATATAAAGTTTGATGTTGCTGTCACCTAATGACACCTTTAGAAACCACCAGCTACTTTTTCCTGCCAACCTATAACAATTTGTGACTTACTTATGGACTTCCTTCATAAAAAAAGAGGGGGTATCAAACTGGTACTGGAATAACTAAAGCCGCTTGTGTTTTCTGTGTTGCGAATGCACATGCGACACCTAACGCCACATAACAGACGCAGATATAAAGTTTGATGTTGCTGTCACCTAATGACACCTTTAGAAACCACCAGCTACTTTTTCCTGCCAACCTATAACAATTTGTGACTTAACTTATGGACTTCGCTCATTAAAAAAAGGGGGGGGGGGCGGTACCAAGCTGGTACTGGAACAACTAAAGCCGCTTGTGACACAAAGAAAAATACCTATGTCCTCAAAACAAATCTCACAAGAACTATTTTGATTAAATCTTACCGTGAATGAGAGACAGAAGGAGAGGAGTCATAGACATATAAAGAACAAGAGATAGAAAGACACAGTAAATGAGAGACAGGAGATAAGTAACAGACTGATAAAGGGCATGGGATAAAAAGATGTGTGAATGTATATGTGAGAGTAAGAGGAGAAGGAAACTGAAAGAGAAGGTGAAAACCATAAATGTACGGGGTGAGAAACTATGAGGGAGAGAGAGAGAGAGAGAAAAATAATAGAGAGAGGAGACAGAATGATTTCTACTTCTGTGTTTATCCGTAAATAGGCATTTGGCATGTTGTATTGAGGTTTACAGCTAGGCTTTAATATGTGTTTTTTCATTCCAACACATTCAGTTTCATCGGTTCTCTAATTAATAATCTTTTATGGCAAACTTGCAAGTAAGCAGTGAGTTTGATTCTGTTTTCACCTAAAGTGGGTCCCCAGAACCCACACCGGAAAGAATAATGTGAAGGCTCCTGTTGTTATTTTATATTTCAGTGAACATGTTTATACATTAATTTCATATAGACTTTTTAACATAATCTTGGTGGACTGGGCATTCAGTATTCATCTCATCTTGACCCTGTGTTACTTTGTGGTGTAGAGGTAAAGGATAGTTTAAGGTAAAGTGCCTGTTTGTATGCTGTGTAATTGGGGATTCCCAGGGACTTTGTTATTCCCTTGTCCATTGTTTGCGTGGTTGGCCTCTTCTTAGCTTTCTGTCTGGTCTGTTCATCATTGCTTGCTGTGGTATATTGTTTGCTGACGTCCATGTTATATGGACGAACCATTTCACATTTTGTCTTTTAATGAAAACCAGAGCTGCAGCTACTCTAATTCTTCTTCAGATTTCGTAATTCCTAATCTTGTCTCTTATTGTTATATTGAGAGCCCTGTATAGGAATTTTTCTTTGCTCTTTTTCTGTCATAGTCCAGATCTGGCATTAGTAGCGCAGAGTCGGCAAGAAGATTGTGTTGCTCTTTTGGCTTCAACTGAGACATGTTTGTTTCTTAGTGCATCCAATATTGCTTTTTGAAAGTGAATACATCTAGATGACTAGTGGTAGTTTGAAGTTGCATCCACATAAAAAAAAACAATGTTAATGTTGACACTTGTAACTCTTATTTGAACTTGTGTGTTTCAGGAAACAGGATCTTCGTGAACTGAAACTGTTACAGAAACAAGAGAATAAACAGATTACAGACTTGCAGTACAAGAATCATGTTGCACTGGAAGCCAAAGAGAGAAAGTTTGAAACAGATAGTGCGGTAAGTTGATTGCTTTGAACAACATAGATATGTGCTGAGTTTTCATGATTCTTATTGTTACAGAAACATAAAGGTCATTGTCAAGAGAATCAGCTTTATTGCATTGAGTTTTTGTCCCATATGACTTTGCACCGAGCACGAGCTCCATAGCTCTGGCACTAATGAACCAAATGACACTTTCTGTAAAACAAACCTAAGACCATTAGAGCGTAAGGCAAATGGCTTGATCACTTTGCCACACGAAACACTTGAGGCAGAGAAAGAAAATTTGCCAGTTCCTGTTGGTACATTGAGCATGGAAACACAGAAATGGCTGCTGCATCTGAGGACATAGCACGAATGGGTCGGACCAGTATGTGACTGATAGCAGGTAACAAACTTAGCCACAGATGATAGTCTAAATGCTGCAATAGTGTCTATGTGTAGTTATAGTGTCCAGTCTAACTGCTGCAATAATAATCTGGTTTAAGTACTGTGATAACAATCTGCTCTTAAGTGCAGCAGTATTGTCTAATCTAGGTGATACAGTAGTGTCTACTCTAAATGCTGCAGTAATAGTCTAGCCTAAATAGTGCAGTAATACTCAGTGCTGCAATAAGGTCTAGTCTAATTTGTGGAATGTCTAGTCTATTCAAAGCAGTAATAGTCTAGTCAAGTTTAGGTGCTACTATAATAACCCCATCTGATAATACATTTCTGTGATATATTTTGTATATAAGAGGTTTTAAGTGTTTCCATCAAGGTAAAATAGTTGTGTTTTTTTTTGGGTGTGTTTTGCTTATGAGAGTCATAAAACAATAATTTTTTGCATTTGTTAAATTATAGTGTGTTTAATAAATTGTCATTAAATCTGAGTGTTGAGCAGATCACTCGTCAAGTTGGGGCTAGAAATTACCTTCATCAGCAGTTTATAAGTGAATTTTGTCATATTGTTGCATTTTGAAATATGAGAATTGAATAGTTTACTCCCCCACCCACCCACCCACCCTACACACTAACTACAAGCTCCACACTATTTTAAAATCGTATCTAATCATATTGTATTAAAAGCATTGAATGGAACTCACTGCTTTAGTTTGAATTTGTGGGCTATGAAAATATGTTTGATGAGGCACTATGGGATCCCACAGAAAATGTTGACCCAAACAAAGGCATCATATAAATGCCAAGTTCTTCATGGGGTAACAGACACTTATGAAATAAGTACACATGCGCGAGAGGGATGCCTTTTGTCACACCTGTTATTTCTACTGACTGTTAAATCATGACTTTTCTTGACATATTTGAAGAAGGTTGTTTGCCATTGCTTTCCTTCTTGGTAATACTAGTTGATGAATGTAACAGCAGAGGGAGTTATGCTTATATATACCACTACCTCATTGTTGTTGTATTCCTATGTCTGTTCAAGGACCCCTATAATGGGGAGAGGGGGCAGAGAGAATAGACCCAGTGTCACATAATGGGGGAGGGGAAGAATAGATCCACTGACCCATAGTGCGCGGGGGGGGGGGGGGGGGGGACACAGAATAGACCCACTGCCTCCTAACAAGCATGTCTTAATATTACACTGATTAGAGATGTTGAAGTCAGAGTCCGCCAGCCTGAGATGAGAGAAACCAGCAGTCTGTATACAGACAGGCCAGATTTGTAAAATGGATGTGCTTACAAAACATAGGTTCTGGAACAAGACTAGTCTAGAAGTAGATGAAGAGACAGAACTTTCTGCAGAGTTTACAGCCGGTGAACATGATAAGAAAAAGATTGTTGTCTTGTGTGTGTGTTATTCTTCCACCATTCCTTTATTCTGTCCCCAGCAATAATAGTGATCATGTGATAAGAAGTTAATCCTAGCCTGAGATGTATACGTTTATGCATGTATAGGGAGATATAGACGTATACATTATATATTTCGCTTTTTGTGAATACTAGGCGTTGAGAAAGACATTTGAACAAGACCTGGACAGTCTGTACAAGCAACAGAAACAGATTATAGAGAAAGCAGAGCAAGCCCAGCAGACTGACATGAGAAATGCTGCCAAGAAGCTGAAAACAGAGCAGGTAACAGAAAAGTATAGACTCCAGTAGATGAATCTCTTCAAGATGTGGGTAGAGTGGCTTATTGGTGCAGTGGTCAGGACAGGTTGTGTGGTGCTGGGGTCAGCTAGTATCTTGTTGTTCTAGGGTCAACCACCTATATACAATTCTTGGGTCAGCCATCTATATATGGTAATGGGATTGGCTGGCATCATATGGTTCTGGGGTTAGTGTCTATATAATTGAGTCCAGCTACCTGTAAATGTCACTTTTCCAACTTATCTGTAGTGACATGTTTACGAGATGCAATGGTTAATTGTGTGAGCTGTTTTCATGCTTGTGCAGATGTTTAGGGAGCAGACATGAAAAACATTACATATCTATTGGTGTATAAGACACTTTCTTCTGTAGACCCCCCCCCCCCCCCCCCCCCCCCCCCCCCCCCATTTCAGTACACACTACACTAATTTTGGCCATGTTGTGCATGCTTTCCTTTGTTCATTTTGCACAAATCATCCTGGTAGACCACTTAAGTCTTATGCCCACCCCCTTCCCCCTGTCGGTAGAGGTCCAAAATGATGTTCTTGAGCACATTTTATCACCTTGAGTTTAAAATTCATGGTTTGGTAACACTGCTTACATTCTTTTTCCATATCACAGACAATAATGAATAATAATGGTATATTTAGGCCTACCCTGGTTTTAAAAGAAATAATATAACGATATATTAAAACAAAGGCAGTCCCATGACAGTTACTGCATTTTGGGGTGTGAACTATTGTGTGTTCACATAGTAAATGGCATAATTTTAAGGCCTATTTTGAGGGGGGGGGGGGAACAAGTTTGTGTTATACACTGATAGATAGGTAAACTAACAATAGCATTTAGGAGGCCAGAGGTCTTTTGAACTAAATGACTTTTAAAAAAGCCAAGCTGATGTCAGAGAATCTCGTAAGCCTCAGTTATAGGGGTCATGGGATCACATCATGGGTCACCTTATTCATATATTCCATTTATTGCTTCGTTATATTCATGTTTATTGATTACTCCTCTCATATATCTATATATATCTGTGAAAATATTTTAGAATGTAAAGACATTTTGAAGAAATCTATTAGTGGTTGTGTAAAAGTGTTGTTTTGATTTTTACGGATTATTTTTCTGGAATTCTGACAGGTTCATGACCAATTTCTTTTTGGGAAAAAGGGGGGGGGGGGGGGGGGGGGATATGCTTAGTTGCAAAAGAGTTAAAAACTCTCTTTCTGTCTAACTCAGTTGGCAGCAGTGTATTGCATAGAATATTGTGTACATTGTAAAATTCAGCTATTGCTTGGGTGCTAAAAATCAAATTAGAAGGGTTACTTTCTTTCTGTAGGACAAGGAGCTGAAACAGTTCAGAGAGAAGCAAAAACAAGAAATGAAGCTTTTGAAGCAAGAACTGGACATGTTGCCTCGTGACGGCAAGAAAGAGACAGCGCAGAAAATGCGAGAGAGCAAGCAGATTGAAATGGAAGAGAAGGTGAGGGTGTAACCGGTTCTTACTGTCTGTAATTACCATTTTCTAGGGCTGACAGGTCAAGGGAGCCTCGAGCCTAAAAAGTAGGAGCTGCATGGCTAGTGCAGTTGTCACGGACTGTGCAGTACATACTGTAATTTTTACAGAACAGAAGAATCTGTCATCTTACTGAGAATGTGAACCTGGGTCTCCCAAGTAAGAGCTTAGTGTTCTGAACTACTCTGCCAGCCACTCCTTGAGTGTAATATTATTAGCTTTCATTTCTTTGATAATAATTCATGGTGTTTTAGAGTGGTTTACATTTTTCAAGTTATTAGCATGCTTTTGTTTACTTTCCCATGCTCATCATCATGTGCCATGCCCAAAAATCATGGTAAGTCTTAGTTCTTCTTCTTCTTCTTCTTGTTCACCGGCTGTGAATTCCGGCGGTAAGTCGCAGTTGTTCGTCCAAAATGGACTTCTGGCTTTTACCTTGACCTGAGTTTTGCGTGTACATCCGTTTTACTGGCTTATTTGTTCGCAGTTCTCGTTCCCCGCCTCTCCGGCAGATGTACTCCGACTTCGGAGGAATACCTCAAGCCTATTTCTAGGTTGACTGTGGCCATTGTTTTGTGTGGGTCGAGATGTTGCCTCATTTGTGTGGTGTCCTCTTTGACCTTAACAGGTTTGGCCCCCGAAATGTCGTCCTTAAGGCAGCCCTAGGTAGAATTTTCAGCCCTCAGGGGAAGGCAGGGGCAGATCATGGGCATTCCCCGCCATCCAAGGAGGCTTCCATAAATGCAGAGCTGACACATGATGCTCTGGTTCTGGGCTCGCCCAAGGAATCGTCACGTCCTGCCCATGACTGCTTAACCTCACAACCGTGTATTGAGCTTCCCGCGCTACAAGGCTGCGCTCTCCGGAGATCAGCGGGGAGCAGCCCGCAGGTCCAGGACGTTTGTGGCCACACAAATAGGTACATTCTTTTTCATCTTACGTTAGACACCTTTAACGTTGTTTTAGCTGTGCCCTTAGCACGACAGAATGGGGAAGCAAAATGCGTCAGGCGTGGCTTCACCTGTTTGGTCCCAACACTCGGGCAAGTTGGACCAGTGGATACGGACATTCAGACTTTTCCTAATCGGTACGAATTATGATCGTCGGACTTTGAGCTTGAATGTGTGCCGTGGGGTGTAACTTTGTCAGACATTGTTTTCAAGCCAGCATATGAATAGTTGCTGCCGTGGTGTACCTCAGCGCGGTGACGACGACACTGAGGATTGACAGAGGATGTACGTGGGTAGGATCTTGCTGCGAGAAGTCGCCCACAAGAGATGTTACTCGTCTTGGCTGCGGGTAAATCTCTCGGTCAGGGTTGAGTCTCAGCAGCACAGTTTTCCATTCGCTCCCGAATTTTAACCAAGAGTTGTCATTTGATGGTACATTTAGCAAGCAATCCTTGAGTTTTGTT